TTAGCACTGACTCTAAACTCAGATTTCCATACTAGTCCCACTGCTATAAATGGAAGCTCTAATCTTCCTGGTTATAGAAGTGCATCCATTGTGTTTTGGCCATCTGCTCTGGTTAATCAAGATATTAAGAAAGTTTGTGCTCTTTGATCAGTTGCTCTTGGTGCAGATGGATTCAGGGGCTGAGGAAATGAGAGCTAAAACTAAGGGTGTAAAGAGTGTTTATATTACACTGACACAGTGTTCAGCAACCAGGATCAGCTGAAGAAGACAGGTGTCTATCACCCTGCATCCATCAGCGCATGAAGGGCAGCAGCACAGACACTGTGTCAGTGGCAAGAGTGGAAATGGGGCTGCCTGGTGCTTCAGAGTGAGGGAAGGCTTTGGGCTGGCCCCCAAAGTCCCTCCAGTTTTCTTCCCTGTGACTAGAATGCCCAGAATACATTCTAAACTACTACGGACTTGGCACTTTACAACTGATGGTATTTTTTAAAAGTGTCATTATGTAAATGAACTCAGGGAAATCTGAGTTGATTTTTCATAGCTTTTTATTACCATGGCACACTTCCCTTAGTCCAGTAGTGGAGATATAAACCAGTGATTGTAAAGTAAAATAAATGAACTGGCACATAGAAATTACACCTCCTGTAGTATTGTAGGTAATATTAATAGTAGGGTCTGGAGACATCTAAATCACAGAAGAGATGAGTCCACTAAACAAAGACTTTTGCATGTTTAAAAGTGTTTGTAGAAATTCTGGATTTGTTTCTTTCCTTGCACTGAAGCTTTTTTTAGGAGTGTTGTTTCAAAGTTTTATTTCTTAGATAAACAAACCATCATATGAGTTCAGAGGAACATCAAAATTTGTGTTCATGGTGCATTCCAAGAGACCCAGCAGAGCTGAGACCCTGCAGCATTCCTGCACCCAAGGCACTAAGACAAACATTTCCAAAGCTAACATCCTCATCTCAGGCATCCCACATGAGTGCAACCCTGCTGTCTGCAGCTGGTTGTACCACTGTAAGCCACCTAATCTCCCGTGTAATGTCACTGCACATATCTCAGAACGCTGTCACTCCCACCACAGGCTGCAGGCACGCTGCAGCTTCCCAGGGCTAGAATCCACGGAATCCAAGGAGCTTAAAGTAAAGATGCTGCTTGTAAACTCCAATTACATTTCACATGACTCTGCTGTGTGCTTGTGAAAACAGCATTGCTTCAGGAAGGTTTCGCTGCATGAGCACCGGGGCATTTCGATCTTTTACCATGCCGGCCTAACAGGGAGGAACGATGATCAATGCTTGACAGCCTGGCTAATTCAAATGCAAATGTACATACCCTGTCAGTCACGGGAGAAAGCCAATTAAATAAAGACATCTCCCATGACACGGGCAATTAAATAGTTGCTTTTCCTCTTGCTGTGCAAAGATTTTCCTTAATCTCCTGTCCCTTGCTGAGACAGCCTTGGCTTTTCTGCCTGGGCTAGAAGCTCAGGTGCCACAGCTCTCACGGCTGCCTCTGTACCGCTGAGGAGGAGGTGAAGGAGGGCAGAACCCAAACTCCCGTTTTTTCTGGGATAAACTGAGCAGTAGATGAAGAAACCAGTGGCTCAACAGTGTAGAGCAGCAGGGCAGACAGCTGTCCTACCCCTACCAACCTCATTTACAGCGTTTCTAAAACACACAAACATCATGCACACACATGGGCTGCTTGTTTCCTCGCTCTGCTCTTGTATACTCAGCACCGGCGCCTTATCACTCATGGAAGGTGGCTGGAAGCACAGCACACGCCTTAACCCTCTCCTGGCTGCTCTGAAAATCTGACACATTTGCAGGAAAACAGGTGTCTCCTGACAGCTCCCACTGCTCCTGCAAAAGCAGCCAGACAGATGCAAGCACTGTGCAGACAGTGGAGTGGTCCCAGAGGAAATACATTTATAATACTGTCAACTTTTTTTTTTGTCCTTTCTTATGTATTTTCTGAAATAACAATGAAATCTGAAAGAAATCTCATGATTGTACACACATCCATCCTAAGCACCCAGGGATGCTCTGGCTGTGCCTTGCTGCTCAAACCTGGGCAGGCATGCTCAGCTGTGTCCATATGTGCACACAGCACTTGCGGGCTGGGAAGCTCCCACGGCAGGAAAAGCTGATGTCAGCAGTTTGTCCCTCTGTTTCTCCTTGAGAAATGTGCAAGTGAACAATCAATCCTCTGGACAACTCCTCATTCTGGTGGGTCAAACCACCGAGTAGCTTTAGGTGCTCTGTACTGGAGGCTGGCACTCAGTCAAGGGTTTGCAGTCACTGGCAGATGAGAGATTCCTAACACAGGGCAAAGTGGAAATGGAAATAATGAAAGTATACCTCAGGAAGGCACATACTGATGCACTGATGATGTGAGTGCAAGAACCTACTAAAATTGGGCCCCTCGTTTTCAGAAGGTGATCCAACACAGCCAGGACAATTTGTGCCATTGTTGTAAAGCACCAGAAGTGTCTCACACTCCCACATACTCTCTCTGCCCATCACACCTACCCACTGCCTTTCACCTTGTGTTTCAACGCTCATGTCTCTGGAAATTACCCTCTTGTATCACACTCCAATGCTTTTCTTTACACATCAGAATTCTGCTCCCTGTGATGTATCTCAGGCATCACCATGGTATGCTCAGTAATGCCAGCAGTTGTTTCCATGTTTGCTTTTGTCAATGGAAGGATGCTGAAACCAAGAGGGTTTTATGATAACTTTTTGCAAATGATGAATTACAGACAGAAAAGGTCTGTAGTACACTGACAAGTCTCCCTTTCCTTGGAGACAGTGCCATGTAAGGCTATTCAGAGGTTTAGGAGCCTTTTCTCTTAGATGGCCTATGGCTTTGATTAGTGAGAACAGGGACATTCACACACCTCATGTGAGCATCTCATGTAGGATTCACCTCACTGAACATTAATCATCTCACCACCACACCCCTTTTTTCTGTTTCCCTTCATGCAGTGCCATATCTGTCATCAGAAATGGGTGTCTATGAAACCACCCCACATGATAGGCTTAGCATCTCACCTGCAGGAGTTGGGCTTCCAGACCCTCCACAGCCCCCAGCCAGCATCACCACACTGGTTCACATTCAACTCACATTTTGGAAGCCTTCCCTTTACATTTTGAGGCTATTTCCCTAATGATTCTGACACGATTAATACTGGGGTCTGGAGTTCAGGGTGACAGTTCTAAGGAGCCAGACTAATAGGCTGTGAGCTGACAAAATACAGGCTGTATTATTTTGTAACAAAATTAACCCAGCTCTGCTGATAATTTATCAAAATCGAAACTTCTGTAAACTTAACAGATAAGGGACATTTGTGTTTCAATGCACAGCATATTAGATTCATAGACCTAACAAAGTTACAAGTTTCATTATTATCTCCTTCGGCAGTGGACCACAGATGCATTAGAAGAGGGTAAAATGATCCCTTGGAACTGGAAACATTTGATCATCAGTGCAGCATGATGGTTAACAGGTTCCTGATAAGGCTGAAGTTCAGAACTTGAAGTCAAAACCCCAAGCTTGGCAGAGCTGCTGTTTTCTGTTCTGTTCTACCACTTCAGGCAAAAATGCTATTGATGCTGATTGATACCTGCTCAGTAAAAGTATTTGCAATGTTTACTTTATGTAGCAAGTGATCAGATAGCAACAAATATCTCTAACATAATCTTCTTTACAATGCCTTTTTGCTTTCCTTACACCCCTTAAAACACATTACAGCTTTAGAAAGATGTATTTTCCTTAAGAGATACTTATTGTTTTCTCAACATTTTCTTCAGAGCGGTCAGAGGGGATCCAGACACCGCATCAAGCACCACATCAAACTCAGGAGCACAAGTGCATGTGGTCTTTCAGTAGTGCAGGTTTTTTCTACCTTCACAGCACTTTAAAGCATATTGCTTTAAGACTTTTATCTACACATAGGCCTGTTTGTCATCTGCTACTGGGACAGACAGTGCTATTTTTATATTTCCCAACACAGAGGAGAGGACAAACATATTGACCATTCTGTCTCTGAAACACCAAGGAGCTCCTGCTTTCATTGAGACTGCAAAAAGTATATTGAAATATGTGTGTGAACTACACTGAAATCTGAACAAAAGTAGTCTGATGTTTTAAAGCAGCTTAGCAAGGGACAGAGGCATGCAAGAGACTACCCAAAGCAAACCTAGTTTCACTTATTTGTGAGCAGGGATACAACCCCACGTCTTTTTTGAACACAACAAAACTGAAATAATTTTTCACTCAGTACTTCTGTGTCACTTCAGCATGGTAACGTGTTCCTTAATCTCTTTTGGAAGCATTCAGAAAATAAACCAACATATTTACTGCACATTATTTTTTACTAAACATTATTGGAAACTGAAGTTTCTGAACCAACAACACAGATCAGTTTTGATTGGATAAGGGGCAAACTGTTTAACCAAGGGAAATACACTGGCTGTGGCAACTGCGATTCCTGGTTTCAGGCAAGCTCATTTGAATATTTGAAAAATATTTTATGAAATATTGTCTCACATATTATTAACTTTAAGGAAGCAAGCCACTAGAAAGAAATGATTCTCATTGCACTTTAAATTGCTGCTCCAGTGCCTTCACACTTCATGAAGTATGGATCAATTATCTTTTTGGCAAATATGAACACGCTATCTTTTAGCAGAGCTCCATTAATGGCATTTTCTTTCTGTGGTCTTTAGCTTTAGCTTGATCTGCTCTTGTCTCTCTTTGAATGTAGACTATTAGCTAAATTGCACAAACAGTTCAGAAAAAGTACCCTGTGTTCAGTCTGCATCCTCCTCAAGTTGTATGCTAATATTCATCAGAAATCACCTGAGGTGGTTCTTCTTCCCTCATCACATTAAAAAGAAACATTTTACCTGAAAATACAAATTTATAATTGGGCATTTTATGGAGTCATAATTATGCAGGCTTCTTTTCAAGGCAACAGCAGCCAAGCTTACCTGTCAGCTGAGAGAGCAGTGAGAGTAAAGACTGACACCCCTACAGAGGTGAGCTGTATGAAGGGAATAAGTTTGCATCCAGTTCTGCCAAACAGCCACTCGTCAGCAAGGTACCTGCTGGCATCCACAGGCACACAAGTCACTAAAAGCAGCAGGTCTCCCAGAGCCAAACTGGAAATGAACAAATTAGGGACATTTCTCATGGATTTCACAGTACAGAAGATCTTAATCAAAGTGATATTGCCAATAAGGCCTATCAGAATGATGATCCCATAGATAGTGGGGATGGCGTAGAGGAACGCTGGGTAGAACCAGTCTTCCCCCAGGAGGGAGAAGTTTGCACTCTGGTTCACAGAGATGTTATAGAAAATGAAGTTATCTGTTTCTAGGTCTAGCAGAAGGCACTCTCCAGATGCCATCGTCCTACTTTGCTCTTCTCAGAAAACAGCTTTCTTCTATGGAAGTCCCCAAATTCCTCAAATTAAATTCTTGCTTTAATTTTGCTGCTCCTTGCTGGCTTTAAACAGTCAGAAGAGTTTAAAAGTCATATCACTTTGTGACACATCTTGTCAATAACCCAACCAAAAAGCACCTGCAGCTTGCTCCACAGTCCTGTTTCCGTAAGGTGGAAAGTACAACCTGTTTTAGCATCGTTTGAATTGTGAAACTTGCCTTTTCCTCCTCGACTTCTCTTGCTGTTAAGTATTCCTCAGCTCTGGAAGGCCAATTATCGAATTCAAGGACCAGCAAGTGGCAGGCATTTTCGCAAACGGGGCTGGTTATACTCGCAGCTTCGGCTGTGCCCGGCGGCTCCGAGTCCGAAAGTCGGGAGTTACAGAAAGCAAGAACTTTGGCGAGTCGCTGCCGCGCTGCATTGCCAATCTCTCCCGCTTTCGCCGCCTGCCATCGCCAGCCGGATTTAAAGCGAGGGGGGAAAGCGGGGCTCGGCTGGCGGCTGGGATCCTATAGGCAGGATGTTCTGGACGTCAGTCCTTGCGCTGCTTCCCGGGGAGTGCGCGGGCTGCCGGCGGCGCGGCGGGAGCGCGGCCGCCTGCTGGATGCTCCGGGCAGCGCCGCCCTTAACCCTTCCGCTGACAAAATGTACATCTGCTCACTCTGGGCTCCTGACGTGCCTCATCGGCTGGCCACACACTCCCCTCCCCCCAAAAAACCCAACCCCAAATCTCCCTCCCCCCAAAAAACCCAATCTCAAATCTCCCCCCCCCAAAAAATCCAACCCCAAATCTACCCCCCCCCCCAAAAAATCCAACTCCAAATCTCCCCCCCCAAAAAATCCAACCCCAAATCTCCCTCCCAAAAAAACCCAACCCCAGATATTCCCCCTCCCCGAAAAAAACCCCACCAAGCCCCCCCAAACAAGCCACAAAAAGCTTCAAACCCACCAAAACCAAACAGCCGTTCCCCATACAAATCAACCAACCAACCAAAGCCCAACCCAGGCAATTTCATACTGCGAACAATGTGTTCAGGAAAGCCATCCCACCCTCTTAACTAAAAGCACACCTGTTTTTCTTGCGCACCGATATTCAATTATTCCAGTGAAAGAGAATGATGATATAAAGCCAAATTCATCTTCCCCTCTTCTCCCTAGGCAGGTGAAATTAATAAAGCCAATTAGGATAAAACCCAACATTGTTGTTAAGGTAGACAAATGAATATTAGCACTGTGAGCCTGAAGTTTTACAGGGAAACCTTAACTCTGCATATTTTATGTTAATTTTTTAATTTGCCAAGAGACAAAGTTCAGCATTCTATGCAATAATTTATATTTATGAGATATCCATCATATTGGCATCCATAGATAATGCATGTTGAGATGCAACAGAAAGAAATTTGCTTGGCTTATAACAGTCTGGAAAAACTCCTTCTTAGAACTGAATTAAGATATAACTGTTACTGATGCCTTACTGCTTTATAACAGGCTATTTATGAATTTATGGGAGAACTTTCTGGACTGCAGAGATATATAGTTAATTTGGAAACCAGCCTGCAGAATTAAATGAAGGTGTACTTTAAATTTTCTCTCACAACTGCTAATTTTTGCAGGCAAAAGAATGTTTCACCAACTGCTAGAGTTACTTGGAAGTGAGAGGGGAGGCAATTCAAAACAGGCATTCAAGTGTGATCACTGGTTTCTGCATAAAAGAAGCATTTCAGGACACATTCTGGAAAACCTCCAGGGGTTTGAAAGTGGTGTCCCAGGGTGGGATTTGAAGCAGGAGGCTTCAATAGCTGTTTTTCTGCCTCATTCTCGTGACCCGGGTCAGTGTTTTCAGCTGTTTTACTGCTGTCCACTCTAAGTCAACAAAGGACTTATGTGTACTCTTAACTTTAAGTAGGGCTACTTCCATATGTTTTTCAAGCCAAACACACATGGCAGTGCTGTGCTGAGAGCTTGAGAGTGCAGAGGAAAAGCCAAATTTTCTAGTGTTCCTTTCAGACAGAAGCCTGCTTTTAAGAAAAGGCTGGAGGTTACCACGGTTAAAAGCAGAGGACGCACAGCAACTGTGCGCATTCTGATCGGGGCACACGGGCACTTGTGTGGGTCAGGGCCAGCTCTGGGCAGGGCTGCCAGGCTGGCTGGGTGCCACTGGGAGGCAATGCCATATTTGGCACAGCAGAGCCAAAGGCACAGAGAGGAGCTGTGGAGCTACTGAAGCAGCCCTGCCACACACCATGGTGGGACTTCTCTCCAGAATATCCCCCCAGCACACCTGGGAGCCTGGTGATAGGGGCTGCATGACAAAGGGATGCACACCTCTCCCTCCCTCCTCCCACACTGTGCCTTCTGAGCATTGGGATACAGGGGACAGGACACTTCTGGAAATGGGAGCAGCCACTTGGTGTAATCCTGATGGACCCCTGTGCCCAGCAGCCTGGTCAGTAGTTGGCAGTGACCCACCCTGAGTAGGAGGTGTGGACTTGTCTCCTTTCCCGTTCAAATTACTTGTTGACACTGGGATTTGTAAACCCACCACTCAGAGATAGAACATCTCTAGCTTGTAGAGCCTTCCCACTCTGAGGAGGCTGTAATCTGATTGCAAGACTCCTCCTGTGGGACACCTGATAAAACCCCATGGCCCCAGGTCTGCTCGCTTCCAGCTCTCTGGGCTCTGCTCAGGCTCTCGGGCCCCTGCTCCCCCTAGCACAGGGGGGGGAATAAAATGGACTCTCATGCTACAACAAAGACTTGTCTCGTCTGTTTTCCCTGGTGCCAGTTGTGGCCTCCCTAGATCACGATCACATCACTGCTGCCTCCTCAGCACATCACAAGCCCCCTCCGAGCTGCCCCCCTGGATGAGCTTGGTGCCCTTAGAGAACCGCCCCTACCACAGGCTGCACAGGAGGCCCGGGGGTCCCCACAGCTTCCCCCAGCCCATAGCAGGCAAAATGGGCATTTCTATGAGCATACCACCTCTGTGTTCCTTTCAAGATCCCAAGCCTCTCTCCAAAGGACAGTAAGCATCAATACCCCAGTTTCACCGCTGGAGTAACCTGCATGCATTTGAAAAAAACCCAAAACAACAACAACAACAAAACCAACACAAAACAAAAAAACTGGCACAAAGTTACTTAACAAGCTGTTGGCAGAGTTGTGAATAGAATGAGGCAGGGCTTGTGAGCCTGGTCCTGCATTATAATGGTTTTTGGTTGGACAGTAGGAGATTCCATGCATCCTTTCAGTAGATGCTTTTATTTAATCTCTCAGCCTTTGTCCAACCTCCAAATGACAGCTGCAAAGAGAAAACTTCCTTAACTGTGCACAATGGGAGAGATTTGTGAAAGCTTGATGAGCAAAATTTTCAAAAGCCTACATGAAAGGTAATGAAGTTTAGGCTCCTACATTGCTTATGAGTGTACCACCTGGAAGTGGAGCCAGAGTTTCAAACAACTGCAGTCTGCACTGAGAAAAGTACACGAGGACCCACTTTTCAAAGGTGCTTGGAGAGCTGCAGCTGCCACAATCACAGCTCCAGGCAGATTTTCAGAGCCCTAGCAGCCAGTGTGCCGAGGTCTCTTGTACGACAGTGATCATGTGTTCTACCTATCTAAATGGACCACTTTGGAAAATCTAATGCAACAGGGGATTCTGTGAGGTTCCATGGGAGATGATCTGGTGATGGGAGCCAGAGAATGCTGGTGTGGCCACCAGCAGACCCTGAGGCTGGCCCAGCCATCACCTCGGAGAGCAGGAGCAACCTGCTGCACTAGGGTGGGCAGTCCATGCAGCATCCCCCACACCAGGCATCTCCAACATGCAGGGAACATGGTGGCAATGGGAAATCATCTCCTTGGAGCTCTGTGCCAGGGGTGTCATGGTTGCTTGTGTGACTTTCCTTCGTATCAAACTCTTCCCCTCTCAGAGGAGATGGATAAACTTGCATCCATGGTCAGGAGTCAGGAGAGGAGTCTCTGTGCTCAGGGTTTTGCTGTTCCTGATAACTGGATTACTGGGGCTAGGAACCAGTGAACCAGGGATTACTCACTGCTGAGCTTCTGGAGCACAACATCCGCTGATTTACTAAGTATTCTCCTGTAAACTTCATCTCCCACAGGGAATGAAGCAGTGCAAGGCATCCTGCCTATAATCTCTTCAAGCAAATTCTTCATTTTTATTGCTGTCACTCCTACGTGCCCAAATAGTGCTCTGTGTTCACCACTCCATTTCAGTCACCAAATGGTTCACAAAAGGGTGATTTTCTAACCCATTTCATTCCAGGGATCAGATTTATATCAGGGCTTTACAGACAGTAAATTACATAAGCTTTTTATTATCTTGAGCAAAGATTTTTACTCATACCTGCATGACTGGGGGTCAGAGGGGCTGAGGAAGAAACTGAATATAATTCACAGTGTAAAAATCCCCTGAGTAAACACAATGTGCTGGTTTCTTGCATATGTAAAAATGGAAATGAAGCATTGTCAGGTTTCCTCCATCCTGCAGCCTTGCTGACGCACAGCCTACAGTGCAAATGAAGATGCAGGCCATACAATGTGAAGTGCTCCCACTGTGCCTTTGAAAATAGCTTGTTCATTCTAAATTAGGCAACTCTTTCAGCGTGTTTTTAGCTTTACAAATCCCTTATATATTCCCAGCATTTCATCATGACACACAGCCATCAAAAACTGACACAGCTGGAAGGGATGTCTGAACTGCCTAACACACTGGATGTGTGCTCATGGACAAGTGTTTGAAGGAGACACATGCAGATAAATGTTTACAGGAATCTTCTGCTTGAAGAGTAACAAAGCCATAACAGCATCTGAAAATGCTGTAAGTGAGAAAGTAAAGGTTGCATGGTGGGCCAGCAGGAGCAGGGAACCAGCCTGTACCTGGTAAATGAGGGATGAAAAGGGACTTGAGAATGTAGAGAGCTTTCAAGGAGGGCACATTTGA